TATTGAAACAAGAAGATCCAGCATGTAAAAGCAATTATTAGTTACATAGAAAAATATAAAATAAAAGTGACGTTAATGCGTGACTGCATTTTATTCGCCTCGGAGTCTTCGATTAGAATAACGGGAGACACGAATGCTTGGTAAGTAGTGTGATTCCCCACGGATGATTTGCCTCAAGCTTTTAATGCCGAAAGATCCTCTACTTGCTTATTATTACAGCTCTATTATTATTATTATTATTATTATTATTATTATTATTATTTATATTGTTATTGTTATTATTGCTATTATGATAGGTTGGTACATTAACTCGGGGCAATTTATTTTTTTTTATTACGTATTAATTTAATTTATCAAGCGTAATACTTTTCTCAAGCACCGGCATTAAATATGAGACAATTATTTAAAGATAATACACACGTGAAATTGGCGATCGCGTATTTAGCATTAAATTAGCGGGTATAAGGTCCGGTTACGAGTTAAGTGTTATAGCGTAATTTAACACCGTAAGTTGCCAACAAAATTCGCGAGATTGCTTACTATTATACAGATTAAAATAGCCATTTGCAATAAAATTATGCCTTGTAAGAGCAATCGGGGCAACGGAACTTCCGACAAGAGTTATCCGTTTTTTATATTTTTTATCACGTACCGTTGACGCTATAGATAGACACGGGGTCATGGCATTGCTGGCGATGTTGCCTATTGAAGAAGTAAAGGTAGAAAACGCACAACCTCATACTAAAATACTCAGGGCCGTATGGAATCTATGTATTCCTCTCTCTTTCCGGGGACCATTAATTATTTATTTCATACACGTGATATCTTCTATCGTCTTCTTTATTAACCGTACAAATAAATTGCTCATTTTATTTTATTTTATATTATTTATTTACATATTTATCTTCACTCTATAATGTTTTAGAATGCTCAAGGAAGAAATACAGCGAATTCTTGATCAGAAGAAAAGGGTGACTTTCAAAATTCTAGGATTTATTGATTGGTTATTTTAAAAAATTTTTTCAAGCTTTCACCATTCGATTTATCATTTAATTATGTAAAATTTAATTGTATTTATTTTTTATTATAGATTTCTTCTTTTATAGATTCATGAAAATTTAACTAACCGACATTTAAAAATTTTTATAATTTATTTTGTTGAAAAATAATTTTTTAAAAATTAAAACAAAAATTTTCACATATAGAAAATTTTAAAAATTATACGTGGAATTTTTTAAAAATATTTTCTTAGTTATAATTTTTAATTAATAAAGATCAAAAATTGTTGACTGTCGGCTAACTTAATTTTCATAATCGATGCTAAGTATTTTTATGGTAAAAAAAAAAAAAAATATTATAACAGGTAATGCATATTAAAATGTTTCATTGAAAAAACAACTTTTGGATGATTGGTACAATGCATTTAACAGTGCATGAAATAATAACGTTTCGCTCGGTTGATATTATGTTCATCAGCGAATAAAAATGGCGACAACGTTCTGGAGAACTAGTTAAATTAAATCAAGTAAAAAATTGAAGGAAGAAATATTTTAAGGAGGGAGCACAACTAGTGTGACAGCCTAAAAAAAAGGTGATTCCAAAATCATAGTTTTGATAAATGAAAAAAAAAATATTAATTTTTTAATTAATTATTATTTAGAGTCGGTTTTAACTGCTATTTAAATTTGTATTTATAGGTAGATAGATAATTAATTATTATTCATTTTTTATCAAGAAGTACCCCTTAAGTATAAAAAAAAAATCTGTAAACTATGACATTTATATTATATTAAATGTCTGAATGTCGGGTTGAATAACCATCGCTGTAAGAGAAGATATTGCACCCGGAATTATGGTGGAAAAATAAGCAATTTAACAAGTTGAGAAGTATATAATATATATATATATATATATATATATAAGAAAGAGAGAGAGAATTTTATAACGATGTGTATTGAAATAATCGGTATCGAAGAAGCGCAAGAGAAAGGGAGTGGAAAAAAAATTTTTAGTGACAAGCTATGGACTTTCTACTCATATTACTATATATTATACCATAGATTAGTTACGGATCAACGGGAAGTCATTAGTCGTCTATTTGAACCAGGAATTAATCCACACATGTGCAGATAAATTGGACAAGTAACTAATGTATTATTGTTCTAGCTGATTAATTAATTAAATTTTAATTCCAGGTTATTCTTACTTTGTTAATTTATATCTGACAAATTAAATAGTCAATTAACGGAGTATTTGACTTATTAATTAAGGTAATTGAAGAAATTAATTATTGTAAATAGTTAATAGATGATGAAGTAACTTGGAGTAATTACAATCGCAAATACAAGCATTAAAAGTATTTTTTAATGTTAAGTGACTTCATCATTTTGCCGATTGCTCAATTATTTTATATTTATAAATTCCGTCATTAAATGAAGAAATTTTTATTTTAAATAATTTAGGATTTATGCAATTTATATTTTATTTATTGACGTATTAATTATGAAATTACAAATATTTTATGTTTGTTTGTTTGGATGTTGAAATAGTTTTTTTTTAAATTGAAGGCTTAGGTTTGAATAAAAGTACGCTATTGAAACGGAAAATGTAATTAAAATTCAAAATAATGCCTTTGGGTATTATTATGTCGGTATACTAATTTAAATTAGAAACTTTCGAGGATTATTTAAATGAGGATAAAATTGAAAGTCATTTTAATAGAATAATTTATGGTGACAAAATTGAAAGTATTATTTTAATTACGTAGTTGTAAGTTCATGGTATTAGAAGTAAAAATGCGGTAGACATTAGAAGTTATTTTTAAAATAAAAAAAATTCAATTATAGGAAAGAGATTGTGCTAATGATTTATTGCTGAAGAAATTTATAGGAAATGAACGTCAAAATTAATGCGGAAGAACTTTGTCTTTTTTTTTTTAATTATTTAAATGATTAATGTATTGATAGTGGATATTAAGGTATATAATAGAATAATTTTGATAAGCGATAAACTTTCAAGCATGACTAGCCTGCAATCGGTTAGTCGTTAGAAAGGTATTACTTTCATTTATTAAATCCGCATGTATTATTATTAGTTATAAACAACAACTTAGCATAAAAATGTGACCGTGAAGTACAAAAAAATAAATCCATAAGAAAGTTATGCACAAGAAATCGATATTATGCATCTGCGATACGCGACACTCGATGAAAAATTTATACAATTCGCACCATTACATTATTTGCATAACAAATACAGTTATATATAAATATATTTTGAAACACTTGGATTTCACTAAAATCGTGACTTGAAAATTTTAAATTTATATTTTTACATTTTAAAAAATTTATTTTATGTAACAATTTTTTGACGTTCTAATTAGCAAATTGTCTAACTACATTTTAGAGAATCTTCTAAAAATAATTAGTTCAAAATTTATTATTACTTAAAAAAAAAATAATTTAATATTTTGGTTTGGATCATTCAAATAATTTATAATTAGGCTATTGCTATATCAAAATGTTAAAAAATCACTCTCTAAAAATAAGGAGAGACCAATTGATAATTAGACTGTTGTTTTATTTAATTTAGTAAACAATTAAAGAAAAAAAATTGTCCTATAAAAAATTCTACAAATGACCTTTATAAATTTATATTATAATAGTAATTTATTTATAAACAAGATTATACAAAAATCCGTCGGAATTATCTAGATTAATTAGACAAAGTTTTGAAACATAAAAATATCTGTAATATTATTTAAAAAACAATTTATTCAATAACTGAATTAATTACAATTTTGATTGTAATAATTATAAAAATTGAATTACTCAAAAAATATTATGAAATATTATTTTAGTTTGAGCACATTAAACTCATTATAATTAAAAGTAAAATTGAGCGTACATAAATTTTTTTAAAGCGATCTAACTTTCACGTCGACATAATAATTTGATCAAACGAGGTCGTGTTGTGGTTTTTTAAAGATAACAGCCAATAAACTGTACAGAAATAATACTCAGTACAGAGAATGGACCGGTTCCATATAATAATACAACCGGCAGTCAGAGGTCTCTCGAGGCTCCGATCATCATTACTGAGGTCAATTCAAATAATTATTAATTAAAACAACTTAATAATAATTTTAGTACTGAGTTCGCTCATTATTTATTATAATAAAAATTAATATTATCATCTTATAATTATTATTATTTATTACTTATAACTTATAACTTACGACTAAATTATTATGATTATTGTCATTAGTGAGATTTCTCTCAGTACAGTACAACAATTAAAAAATACAACATTACGTACAGAGATTAAGTATCATAATAATAACAATAATACCAACCATAATAATAATAATAATTATTATTAATAAAAGTACAACACAAAATATAAATCCAAGATGCCGGTTTTAAAGGATACGAAACACTTTTGTTGAATAAAAAGTGCGGCTGTCCAGCGAGGCTGGATATAGATCTCTCTCATTATCTTTCCTCTCCGCAATGCCAAGTACAAATTAAATATAAAAGTTTATACTATAACTTTATTTACTTAATTATATTTTAACTTGATCTAATGTAGAGCCGAGGTTAATCGAGCGGCCTACGTAAAAAAAAAAAAAACAACAACAAAAATACAGAGTAAAATAATTAATAACACGATTTAACAACGTCTTGGTTGGCGACAGGTCATTTAAACGCCCGCATGCCTCGCAAGTTTTTAATAATAAAAATATTAACTCGTTGGCGAAGAGGAAAGAGAAAAGATCACTGATGGAAGCGTACACCGTACAGCCAATATCATTAATTTAATGTATGTATATGACAGGCACTGGAATAAGATAATGATAACGATGCATCAACGGTCAACGATATACCAGTTAATTAAATATTTCATTAATCTATTAATCAACAAGGTATATATAAATATAAATATAAATACATCTATATCTATATATAAAGGTGTTGCATTAATTATTATTTTTTTTCTAGTTAATAAGGATCAAGTGCTGCAAGGCCAAGTCTAGGTGGCTCGGCGTAACTGTGACGGTATCTGCCAGGCGTCGGTAAAATTTCAAAACTCTGTCTCGAGTTTTCTCTATCTAGATATCTGTCATGTTTTGGAATGTCCTGATAAGCCATCGGTCTTATTCTTGCCTTTTCACGCATCAGATCACGTGAGTGTCGCTCTCGAGATTCTCTCTATAAATAAAAAATAGAATTGTTTTATTAGTCACTTTTATTTTTTTAGAAGGAAGAAATAATTTTTATGGATTGTAAATTTTACCTCTCGATCAATTACATGTCGAATGTCTTTCTGGTCGACTCTACCGCTGGAGGAGTTGTCGTAAAAACTCCTGGGTCTTGGTCGAGACGAAGACAGTTCTATTTCCGCTAGATGGTCGACAGATGAATAGTTTTGTACTCTTGTTCGTGGCTTGTTCCTGTAGTCGTTGCGGTCGCGGTCTTTTTCGCGGTCCAAGTTCGGATGACTACGCCTTACTAAATGGTCATGGTGAACAGGAGCTGATTGAGATGGACTTGACATTACATGTCGGGTTCGCTCTTCGTGGAGTTGACGCGATTGCTCCAATCTGGTTAGCAAAAATGAATTTTATTAGTTAATGTTTTTATTTCAATAATATTGAAATTGAAAATTTTCATATTTTTTTTATGATTAAAAAAAAATAGCAGTCACTATGTGAACTATAAATAAATAAAATTCTGCTTTAATAAATTAATGACTTTTGTTAAATTGCACTGTACTTTTTTAAAGATATAAGCTCATCTCGATGTTACACTCATCAAGAGCTTTCATTTGAGTACCCACATGCATTTTTGATATATTTTTCATACATACATATATATATATATAATTATGTAAAATATATAAAAAATTGATGTGGGTACTTAAATGAAAGGTCTTAATGAGTGTAATGTGAGAATGAGCTTATATCTTTAAAAATGTCAATATTTCACAAGATAAAAGGTCATTTCTTAAATATGTATCTAGAGATAAAAAATTTTCGAATGCAGTTTTTTACCAAAATTCGATTTTGTCATATGACTATCCTGGAAACAAAATTTTTCTTATTTTCTTAATAACATAGATTAAAATATTTTTTTTTTATAAAAAAAAAAATGTATTTAATTTTTTTTTATTAAAAAATAAATTATAAGAATTTTATATAATTTTATTACAGTGAAAGTAGAGAATTTTTTTTTTTAATTCAATAATGATTAAAAAAAATATATGTACAAAATTTCTTTGTGTTTTATTGTATAAATTTTTTTCTTATCATAATTAAGATTTATTAAAACCCGCGAGAATCAACAGGTGATTGAACGCGCAACAAGTATTAATAATTGAATGAATATAATTTATTTAAAAACTAAAACCAGTCTCCCTTTCTAGGCATAAACTTTCAAGACTTTACGTGGAGCACAAAAAGCGAGTAAAGATTTACATCAAAATACTAGAGTCAAGGTAATAGAGGCTTTGAGATCCAGTCCAGTGAAACTGTTTAAGTTAATCCAGTTGGTAAAGATAAATGCGGTATTTTAAGTTAAAATCAAGACAATTCCTCCGTAGCTGAGCTTAGAAAGTGCTAGCGGAGATTGTAAAACTAAATAAATGAAAACAGTTAGTCGATGTTGATCTATTAAAAAAAAAATATCTGTATATAAAGCAAACTATCTCTCTATTTAATGAAATAACAGAGTAAGAGGTATGTACAGTAGCAAGGCAACCTTAATCTATCGCTTATATATATATATTACCCGAATGATTAACCACACTCACGATTAGATTGTGTAGCAAGAAATTAGCATTTAAATCAAGATATACAGGAAGACCATATAATAAGGAACTGGACTAGACTGCGTATCAAACTTAAAAGACATTAAGAGCTCCAGAGCAGCATGCTCGTAATGGCAACCTTGGGCTGCCATTTACTAGATTAATGTCGCCTTATTAAGTATCGTGGCGAGCAGCTATTGTGTCGGTTGTCGTATTTATATCACATGCTACTTAAAAACAAAAAATACCACTAATATTTTTATTGTACCAGGACGTTATTTGAACACGCGACTGGGTAGCATGCACACACACCGGCAATTATTTTCGCTGTGCAACGGGTTCAAAAAGAATAAGTTCCTTACCCTCGTTGCTATTCGCCAGATCGTTAAAATTAACTCTGTTTTTTAACCGTTGGATCCGAATTTTATTATAGTAATCAAAATCACATAAGCCAAATTACTGGTGTGGGATTTAAATACCGTCTCTAATGATTAGATTACACACCAGTGAGATTAAATAATAACACTCATCTAACAACTAATTAACAACACAGATTCTTTGATATTTATTTGTTCTGCATATATTAACTGCGATTTTTATCTTTGACATTCAGGACACGTCAATGCCTTTTATTATCATTGTTAAATTTATTATTATTTCTATTTATATAACTTTATTTGTTTTCTTCTTTTAATTCTTGAGTTTTATTTTGTCATATTGAAGTTAGGTTTTAAACTTCTGTCTTGTCCGTGATAAGTAGCTGTAGTGCGTGAAATGAATCACAAATGCACATTATAATTATTTTTTATAATACTTAAGTTAGCCGTTTTAGATTTTTTTTATTTATTAAATTATAACTAAAAAATATTTTTAAAAAATTGCACTTATAGTTTTTCAAAAATGAAATTTTTTATTTTTTGGCAATAATTTTTTTAATAAAAAAAAATTATAAGTTTTTTTGAATGTCTGCTAACTTAATTTTTATTTCTTCTTTTTTACAACTTGCTTATATATTAATAACATTTATTTTAAATTAAATAAATCAAACCCTAAAACTATGTGGAAAAAAATAAAGCAATTGATTGGTGACAAAAAAAGTAATGAAACATTTGAATATATAAATTTTAATGGTATAGAGTTAAGAAATGATCTGGACATAGCAATCGAGTTTAATAAATATTTTGTTAACAGTGTCAAGTATATTATTAATGATGTTAAAAGTAATCACGGAACCTCGAATTACAATTATACACCTCTAGAAGATGCTCGTGTTGGTTCAAAGATATGGGAAAAGTTTAATAAAATTTCCATCTTGGAGGTTGAGAAAATTATTAATAATTTAGATGTAAATAAGGGTGCTAATAATATTTTAAACGCTGTGATTATTAAAAATATTTGGCATTGTAATAAAAATATAATTTTAAATATTTTAGATTATTTTTTAAAATTAGGCATAGTACCAAATTGTTTAAAAATATCTGTGATAACACCAATTCCAAAAATAAAAAATAGTCATAATATAGAACATTTTAGGCCAATAAATACTCTACCAATCCTTGAACAAATATTAGAACAGCTTGTGAAAACGCAATTAGATAAATTGATATTGAAGATAATAATATTTTGGATCAGGGACAATCTGGTTTCCGTAAATATTTCTCTTGTGAATCTGCCTAACAGGATTCACTCACTGAATGGAGAAAATATCTAGATGACGGTTTTTGGATAGGAGTTCTATTTATTGACTTTGCCAGAGCGTTTGAAACCATAGATAGAAGTGTACTGATTGAGTTATTAAAAAAAATTGGGCTGAGAGGAATTGTGTTAGAATGGTTTATTTCGTACTTAAAAAATAGAAAACAAAGAGTAAAATATGGTGATGTTCTGTCTGAGGAAATTAATGTCTTAGGGATACGGTGTCATGTTATACCAAAAATATTATATATAGATCAGCTATTGCCCCGCATTTGGACTACTGCAGCTCATTAATGCTTAATTTCAATGAAAATAAGCTTGATGAACTGCAGAAAGTACAAAATAGGGCAATGAGACTTATATTAGGAGTAAATAAGTATACTAGTATCAAAAGTATGCTGTTAACTTTAGGTATGTTAAATGTGAGGCAACGAATAATGTATAATTGCTGTATATTTATACACAAAATTATTTTGAATAAAGCGCCAAAATATATGTATGATCGAATAACAAGAGCAGAAAATACTCACAATTACAACACGCGAAATAGAAGCTTTATTAACATACATTTTACAAGAACTCGCTCAGCCGAGAAATGTTTAAATTACAAAGGTTTCGATTTTTATAATAAAATCCCTAAGTGTATAAAAGACGAAGACAGACTACCGTATTTTAAAAGATTGTTAAAAGAACATATTAAAACGATGTATAATTGATTTATATATTTATTTAAATCTAAAATTGTATGAAAAATAGCAAGATGCTAAATAAATAAACAATTATTATTATTATTAAATTGTTGAAGAAATATAAAAGTATTATAAAAATTTTTTTAATTATTTAAATAGATTTAATAAAAATATATTTCATTGTTAAATTTATTATTATTATTTCTATTTATAGAACTTTATTTGCATATTATAATTATTTTTTATAATACTCAAATTAGCCGACGTTTTCAATTTTTTGATTTTTTTTTTTTTGAATTGCACTTAAAGTTTTTCAAGTTTTTTTAAAAATGAATTTTTTTTTTTTTAATAAAAAAAAATTCTAAATTTTTATGAATATCTGCTAACTTATTTTTTATTTATTTTTTTTTAGCTTATAAGCAAGTAGTAAAATGTCTATAGGCATTAATAATGTTTATTTAAAATTGTTGAAGAAATATAAAATTAGTTTTATAAAAAAATCTCACAGAAAATTTTTTAATTATTTAAATAGATTTAATAAAAATATATTTCACCATATATTTTTTTTAATTAATTAATTTTAACAAAGCTATATTTTTCTCTGTATAATTATTAATTACTACTTGCTTAGATAATAATAAAGTCGACTTAAAATATAACTTCTAAAGTTTCAGCTCATTATATCTCCTCAATTTTTTTTTTTACCTTTCTTGTAATTACAGACTAATTATTTATATTATTGTTTCGATGTTTAAAAAATAACGAGGATTTAATTTGAGCTGAAAGAATAATAAAATAATTACCGCGTGAAAAAATAGGAACTCACTTGTGCTTTCCGCGATTCTCGCTGGATTCTCTGGGCCTGGCGACCGCTGGCCTTGCGTTATTCTCTCGTTCCATGGCCTTGAACATCTCCTTGGCGTCCTGAAATCTTTCCCGAGGGCTGGTAACCTCGATGGGATCTACTTTGGGCTGATACTGAGGGCTCGGAGATCGTTGTCTCAATTCAGGCGCTCGTCGGATTCTATTTGAGCTGTTTGGCGATAACGCGCGGGTAAGTCCGATTGATCTCTCCGGACTCCGGTTTACTCGCGGTAGAGCTACGTTTGAGTTTTGATCTGCTAGATACTCGGTGTCCTCATTAGCTCCACCCCAGTCTTCATCTGAAGAAATTTAAATAAATAAATTAACTTAGTAATTATTAATTTAATAATTAAATTAATTGTAGATAAGATAAAATCAATGATTTCTTCTTATGTTATTTTTTTTTTCTTTGATATGACTGAATTATTTTGCATTGATGACTTAAACCTAAGATATGACATCACAAGTTGTTATTTTAATTATTATTCTTTCTCTCGTTACTTCGAAATTAAAAATAATATCGTCGTAACGTAAACCCGTTAGCAGCCGACGGAGAAAAAAATACAAGGTGAGATAAAACATTTGTGATCTTAAATTAACAACAAAACAACAAATGCCTCAAGCGGGTAATAAATGAGTATATATATATATAAATTGTGATAGCGTCGAGATTAAGGATTTAATACCAAAAATACCAGGAATGTAATTTAAACTTTTATTAAATTCTATACAAATGTACATCTTTAATTTTTAAATTAAATTGGCATAATAATTTTTTACCACAATAATCTTCAATCTAAATTCTGGAAGAAATACTGAAGATATAAAAAAATAAATATTTTCAGTAGAAAATTAAATTAAATCTATATTATTATAAGAATAAGAAAAATTTCATTTCATTCTCACCGATATATTTAAGCTGCATTCGAAAATGCTCTATCTCTAGATACATAATTAAAAAATGACTTTATTTTGTAAAATATTGAAATTTTTAAAGATATAAGCTCATCCTGATGTTACACTCATCAAGAGCTTTCATTTGAGTACCCACATGCATTTTTAATATATACATATATGTAATATATATAAATATATAAAATATATGAAAAATTGATGTGGGTACTTAAATGAAAGGTCTCAATGAGTGTAATGTGAGGGTGAGCTTATATCTTTAAAAATATCATTAGATGCCAAGATTCAATGCCATTTCTTAACTATTGACGTTTTTAAAGATATAAGCTCATCCCGATGTTACACTCATCAAAAGCTTCCATTTGAATACCCACATGCATTTTTGATATATTTTTCATATATACATATATATTGTATATATAAATATATGAAAAATTGATGTAGGTACTTAAATGAAAGGTCTCAATGAGTGTAATGTGAGGGTGAGCTTATATCTTTAAAAATATCATTAGATGCCAAGATTCAATGCCATTTCTTAACTATTGACGTTTTTAAAGATATAAGCTCATCCCGATGTTACACTCATCAAAAGCTTCCATTTGAATACCCACATGCATTTTTGATATATTTTTCATATATACATTTATGTCATATATATAAATATATGAAAAATTGATGTAGGTACTTAAATGAAAGGTCTCAATGAGTATAATGTGAGGGTGAGCTTATATCTTTAAAAATATCATTAGATGATGAGATTCAATGTCATTTCTTAACGATTGACATTTTTAAAGATATAAGCTCATCCCGATGTTACACTCATCGAGACCTTTCATTCAAATACCCACATCAATTTTTCATATATTTTATATATTTATATATATATTACATATATGTATAAATGAAAAATATATCAAAAATGCATGTGGGTACTCAAATGAAAGCTCTTGACGAGTGTAACATCGGAAGCTTATATCTTTAAAAACGTTAATATTTAAGAAAGTACAGTGCAATTTAACAAAAGTCATTATTTAATAAAGCAAAATTGCAATTTTTTTAGTTTACAAGTCACGACAGTCCCATACTAATACTTTTTATTAATTGAAATTCTCTATTGGCTAAAAGATAAAACCCACAAGTCATAAGAAACAGCAACCAGCTGGTTAACCAGATAAGTAATTAAATTATTCCTAACCGTTTGAAGAATAATAAAATTTATAATAAAATTCAGGTGGTGTACGACTACTTTGTTTACGGACGAGAACAGAAGATGGAAATGACACGAGAGTTGAGACTTGAGACATTAAATCTTGAGCTTTGATCAAGGAGAGTCTTTAAGCCATCGGGGATCGGGCAGAGGTAAATAAAAGGAGTGTTGCTGATATACAAGGAGGCCATGAGGTTTCAAGTAAATACCAACGAGCCAACCACACGCTAAGAGATTTAAAGAGATATTGGAATAAGAGGAGTACAGAATGCCCTCTCCTCTCCTCTCATCTGTTGATCTCTTCGCCTCACGGGTTTTAGCTTTTACTTATATTATTTTCACGAGCACCAGCCAGGCTCTGTACTGAATAGTGGGTAGTGGGTAGTGGGTCGAGTAGAGCACACGATTGAGATTCGAATAAGCGGCTCCTCAGTCCTCAGTGTTTTATCCAGTAAGAAGAAACAACCTATAGCATACCAAGTCCAAGTATGCCTCGGGCTGTGGGCCGAGAATGCGGAACCTTCTCACGCCGTGAGGACACTCATGTTGATCACACACAAATTTACGATCCTGGTGTATGGTACTGGCCTCCTATCGACTCTGCACCTCAGCATTAACCGATACCACCAGTGCAGAACCAACCAAAGGGAATAGAAGACATAGAGTTAAGTCAGAGTATGGTAACTAGCTGACAAGTAGACTGCTCAATGACCCTTGTATATAATACCCAGGCACGATTGTCTTCAGCCACACTTGCTCATGATCACCTCAGGAATACTAAACTATCCAGGTTTCAATACACCACACACCACATAACAAACCTGAAATAATAAATAAAAAAAAACAATGTTTTATTACTCTCGCGTTTTGGCGAAATTCTGTTCCATTTGACTCGTAACACTTTCTCTACATTCCAGTAAATTTATTTAAATTTAAAATAGAAAATCGAGATAAAAATATACCTACCTGGAATTTATATTTTCATGATTAATACTTCACTTAAAGTATTAAAGTAACCTTCTCATTTTATTTATATATTTAAGTATTACAGACCAAGAGTTACTCTCAGTAATTCAACTTTGTTTTCTCTTTTCAGTCAATCACCGATTGTTCATGGAGAAACACACCTCAAATATCTTTTAACAAAGCTAAGAAGAATATAAAAAAAATAAAACTGAGTTTTTTTTACGGGCATCGACATCGACGTCAATATAATAATAAATAACGTTTTTAAGTTCGACTTTAAAACTGTATATTTATATTCTTCTGAAGAAAAAAAATCCCGGAAAAAAATTGGCTGTCCAATTTTAAAACACAGTAACTGACAATTTAAAAATTTTTATTATTAAAAAAGAGTTTGCGCACCAAAATAAAAAATTGAATTTATGAATAGAAAATATTTTTAAGAAAAAATACTTGAAATTAAGGTCTAAAAGTTATAAGAAATGCTGCAATACTAAAAATCAGGTACAAAAATTTTGCAGTAACTGTGTTTTAAAACTGGGCAGCCGAAAAAATTTTTAAGTTATGAAAAATTAATATTATTTCATTGAAATTATTATAAAATAAAAATAATAATATTTTTTTTTGTAACAAAAAATGAAGTGATCATTCTGGGGGTGCTTCACTGATAGAAGGATTTGTTTATAGTTAAAAATATTTTTTAATATTTAACAAATCATTTATTAAAGACCAATTTTTAGTATTAAATATAGTATTTAAAAAGATTTATTAATATTTAATAAATGAATATCAGATTTATTAAATACAAACAAATCATTTTAAATAATAAGAAATATTTGTATAATACTAAAAAGTGGTCTGTAATAAATGATTTGTTAATTATTAACAAATATTTTTTAATACAAATAAATCCTTTTATCAGTGTTGTTTTTCAGGAAAATTGTGGGTGTGATACAATTATTATAATTTTTATTTTATAATAATTTTAATGAATTTTTCATAACTTTTAAATTTTTTCCAGGTCTATTTTTTCCGATTACCGAAGAAAAAGTACCATAGCTAATGCCTTGATATTGAATTAGACTTTTCCTTTTCGACATATCATCTTATGTTGATAATCTAAGTTTTTTTGGTCACCTTGATCTGAAATTATAAATAGATTTAGTAAAAAAAAGACCTTGAAATTCTCGAGTTGAAGAAATGAATCCTCGAACTTTTTATTATAATACTTACCTTGTAATTCAATAATTGTTTCTGTAGTGAGTTACACAAGTCCAAATGAAAGATTATTGTTTATTCAAGGTGTTTTTCGTTACCTAATATGACTCATTAATCTTTTTAGTGGTTCAAAATTATTTCTTCCTCAATTTTAATGTAATCCATCAGAAGCAAGCATTTAAAACAAAAAAGCGACAAGATAAATTGCTTGGCCCGCAGAAGCGAGTTTTCCCTCATGATAATTCAATCGACATGTGATAGAGTGAACGGAAGTTACGCAAATGTATATATATATATATATATATATAATATGTAATATATAATGTATAACATGAAGCTATGTATTTATGTATCGCGAATGGCGGAGGTAATATATAAAACAAAGTATGCCATAGCATGTGCTCGGGAAATAACCGGCATTCAAAGTAAGCCAGCTTACGTTAGCTCAGCAACGTACACCTGAGCCTCGGGTCCCGGCGTTGTGCGAGCATTAAACCGAAGCGCGACTTACGGGGACACGAGCTGCAGAATAAGAGGAGGAACCTACACCAGCTACCTGTCGCGAGTACGACGTCCTAACGGGACTCTCCACGGCAACAGGTGCCCGGCAAAATGTATAAGCACACACTCATAGAGCTCTCACTTGAACCTTCCTCAATGCACTTGCCAATTTACAACTTTATATTCTTCTTTTTGGTCTTATTCTTCTTCTCCAGTCAGAAGAATATCAGCTTCAAGTCGCCAAATCAGAATTTAAATCACCATCGACGTATCGAAGATTCATCCTTGCCATTCAGCCGCTCTTCAGTTTAACATTCTTTCCTCATCATCATAATCGGTATCAACAATACATGTGGGTCAGTGGCCCATTAAAAATCGCGTGACCGCGATGACTGAGTGAGATCGTTTGGGTTTTACATATCATCAGCAATCTTCTATCTACTGTATACAATTCATAAACATAAATAATAATAATAAAGTATGTTATTATTGTTAGCAATTATCTAGCGCAGGTGAATTAATTTTATTTATTTCTTCTTTCGTAAATTTTTTTTCTAGATTTTTAATATCTACACAGCTAATGCTGAATCTTTAAAAATTTTTTACAATATATTATTTATTTATTTATTTATATATACTTATACGCCAATTGGCTTTATACATTTTGGTAATAAAAAATTTTGAGAGAAATTAATAAGAAAAATCATAAGAAGAAAGACCAATATGTAGAAGAAAAAGAATTAATGAAATTATTACGAAAATTAACGAAATTATTATTACAAGATTGCTTTCAATTTAGCTAACAATTTTTTACACAGAAAAAAAAATTCACTTGAGCCAAAAAATATTTTTCTTAATTATTTTTTTGAGCGAAAAAAAAAATTTTTTGAAACAAAAAATTTCACTTATTCCAACAAAATTAATTCTCTTGCTTTAAGAAATACGTATCTTGATTCAAGATATTTTATTTAAGTCAAGAAAATCCTCTTATTTTGAGAAAATTCAGGCTCTCGCTCCAAAAAATTAAATATAAAGATAAAAGTAAATTTTCATTAATATTTTTATTGATTAACATATCAAATGGAAAGATCAAATAATATTGAATCATTTTTTTTTTTTTTCATTCAATATGTATAATAGCTTCCCTAAAGTATCTAAAAATCTTGATCAAATATAAAAATTTATTGTATCAAATATTTATGATAATTTGAATTAAGAAAAAATTACTTCAACCAAGAATAAAATTTCAAGAAAAATTTTTACTTTGGCCAACACAACTTCGGTTTTCCTTCAGGCACTCAAAAATTTTTTTGAGCCGAGAATTTTGTTCTCCAGTCAAGAAATTTTTCTTTCTGTGTATAAAAACCTTCAAAAAAATTGATGCCTATTAATAAGAGCTGGTATTCTGTTTCTTGGACTATTGATGACATAGTTTTCATTAGATTTAAATATTTATATAAATATATATTTTTGTTGGCTATTAGAAAACTTTGTTCTGCAGAAATGAAATAAATATTACATCAGATTATCATACTGAAATTATTACCTACAATTAGCCTTATAATTTATATTCCACTGATATACATTTAACTTACGACTGGTGGTTGAGTATGGGTTAGTTGGTCTCAGACGTCATACATTATTAAAAATGTTCCGTGAGCTGTAAAGAATCAAGGGGAGAATAATTAAACTGCATACACACCAGTGGTTAACGTATAAACTTACTGTATCCTAATTTATCCAGCGTAACACCATCAGAACTCACTCTCTACTTATCTGAATCCCTTTCATTTCTCGTAGCCGACGAACGTAAGCGCCGTGAAATATCTTTAAACTTGTTGTTATTAATCTTGCTTTTGTCATTGTCATTTGTCATTTATCCTTTTATTATTCAGCGGTTAATTACGTAAGGTGTCGGAATCATAGTTGGAGTAAAATAAAGAGTTTAAATAACTTATTCTTATTCTTCTTCTTGGTACATCTTAAACCAAAACATTATAAACTGCTATTAATCTTAAGACCAGAGTAAATTAACTTTAAATTACAGTGCTCGGTCGGTGATGGTCTGAGCTCATTTGCAGTGTTTATGCGACACTGATTAAAATCGAAGGCACGTAATTTAGTTATTTTACTTTCTGGTAACTTATTATTATTTTATTTAGCTTTTCGGCTTTCATTATTCTCTTTAAACACAATTTAATGTTTTAAAAGTCACCGTATATCCATCCTCTCAACTGGGTTAACGGGCCAGGTTTCTATACATAATGTACACACGCCAGAAAGATTCGAGCCCAATATGCCGTGCTATTCATTGTGTTATTTTATGCTATCTGCTTACAGCTCAATGTAAACGTGTTATAAACACATGTACGTTTAACAATAATATAAACACCCAGCAAATATGTTATGTGGACAGAAACTTATCTTCATCTATGTTAACCTGTTCTCCAAGTAGAAAGTGTCCAAATTCCTTATCCAGCATATGCCCCTCACTGTCCAGCAATTGGATCCGTACTGTTTTGATGGTTTTTATTATTAGCTTTTTTTTTTTTTAATTTTTTCTCCATCACATATTTATTTATTCAATTAATAACATACATTTTCAAGCTAATATTATTTTTAATAAAACTGTTTTTTAGAGAGACGCTTCTTATGAAGACTACTAAAATATTTAGATTTAAAAAAATAGTAAGTTTTTATAAGGTATTTGTTACTTAATGATATATAAGCATAAATAAACGAAATAAATAACCTTTTTCAAACAAAAAAAAAAGCAATTGCACAGAAAAAAAAATTTTCTTGAATCAAGTATATAATTTTGAAGAACTTAATCTTCTTGATTTAAGTAAAAAAAAATTCTTAAACTAAGAAATTTTTACTTAGTTTAAGTAAATTTTACTTGATTAAAGAATTTTTCGTCTTGATTCAAGACAATTACCCTCTTCAAAATTATTTTCTTGGTTCAAGAATTTCCTCTTGAATCAAGTTAATTTTTTTTTCAGTGTGGATCCGCTTTTTTTCGCCTAAAAGTTTTTTTAATTTACCTGAATAAATAAAAGCAACTAGAGTTACTTATACCTGTCTGGTTCTTGGGCCAAAATTAGAAATTGCCAATTTTTTTTCACACTTAACAGCATCGTAAAAATTCAAATTTATTTCCCACTGTCTATACACTTCCGACTATGTTTTAATTCGAGAAATATCTTTACTTAGAAAGTGTGTTTATGTTTCTTCTCTGGTATATTATCACTAAAAACCCAAACTATTTTTTGGGACATTAAATTAACGCTTTTTTTTAGATTTCACGCATTAATAATTCGGTTTTATCTTATCTGAAGGTCAACTTAGTGCGTATAAAATAGAGATTTAAATAAAAAATTAGTTAAAAAAAAAAAAAAGAGACGGGGATAGAGTACCGTTAAATTCATTATTATTATTTTACTTTACTATATACTAATATGTAAGTATAATATTGTGTATGTAGGTAGAATAATATTTGAGGATTTAAATAAATAGTAAATAAAATAAAATAAAATAAAATAAAATAGTTGATAAGAGGTGATGTAGGATGCAAGATGATGAATGCGATAATTATCGAGATTGTATTATTTAAGGCAGGTGAATAACTTACCAGAAGAAGTATCTCGGGAGGGCCTGGAAGGTCGTGGACCCAGAGGATGATGTGGTTGATATGGAGGCGGAGTAGCTGCACTGTCCGAGCCGATACCACTGCTGGCAGCGCTCCGTGTTCCGCCTCTCTCGATCGCCGTGTTGCCACCCACGATCGTTTGATTGAGACAACGTCGGAATTCGATACCTGCGAGATTTCCACGGTGTCTGTGTACTGTGTCGTAGTCCCGGGGTGGTAATAATATTGGTCCTACGTCATTGTCACCTGAATTACCTCTACCTTAATTAAAAAACAATTTTTTATTTTACTTTAAATACATAATAAAGAGAAAATAATTTATCCTCAGTTTGTTGATGTAATAAATACCTAATTTAGCTCTTAATTCAGCGGCCAGTGACTCATAAATAGTTGCCGTCTGAACAGGAATATGCCGGTGTTCTCCGCTGCCTTCAGATGACTCAGATTCTCTTGTACTACGACCATCACTTCCTATGTTACTTCGCATTCTATTGTCAGATCCATTTAGTTTTGTAGAATTGTCGGAATTTGAAGCAAGGGCTTTTAATTGTCCGCCTAGAAGTTCTGCTGTTTCGACAGAATCACATCTACGCATTTTTAAATAAATAAATAAAATATTAATAATTTTTAAAAGTTTTAAATTAGTTAATTTCATTTTTTTTTTTATCTATTAAACAAATTTTTGCATTAAATAAATTATTTTATTAAATAAAATTTTGCTTTATTAAATAATGACTTTTGTTAAATTGCACTGTACTTTCTTAAAATATTGAAGTTTTTAAAGATATAAGCTCATCCCGATGTTACACTCACCAAGAGCTTTCATTTGAGTACCCACATGCATTTTTGATATATTTTTCATATATACATATATACATTACATATATATAAATATATGAAAAATTGATGTGGGTACTCAAATGAAAGGTCTTGATGAGTGTAACATCGGGATGAGCTTATATCTTTAAAAATGTCCATAGTTAAGAAAGTACAGTGCAATTTAACATAATTAAGAAATGATCCGATATCTTGTGAGCTATTGACATTTTTAAAGATATAAGCTCACCCCGATATTACATTCATCAAGACCTTTCATTTGAGTACCCACATCAATTTTTCATATATTTATATATATTATATATATATATGTATATATGAAAAATATATCAAAAATGCATGTGGGTACTCAAATGAAAGCTCTTGATAAGTGTAACATCGGGATGAGCTTATATCTTTAAAAATCTCAATAGTTCACAAGATACAAGGCCATTTCTTAATTATGTGTCTCGAGATTGAGAATTTTCGAATGCAGCCTAAATACTTATCATTATCACGATAAAACCGATTTTATCATATGAATATCCTAAGACACAAAATTTTTCTTATTCTTTTAATAATATAGATAAAAATAATAATAATAATAATAATAATAATAATAATAATAATATAAAATCAACTTGCACTAGTTTTTAGATTAAATAAAAGAATGGTGTTAATAGCATGGAATTAAGAATTTTTTTAGTTACGGATCTTTAAACATACAGGTCAATTGTGCGGTAATAATCGTTATGAAAATTACCAAATAACATAAATAAAATAGTAATACAGGTGTATAGAAGAATTAACACAATAAATAAGTATAACCAACGGGTTTAAATAAGATTGTAAACCGTGAATGGAGTAATTCGCACACTGCCGACGCAATTTCCTCGTTTTAAATAGACATACACCGTAATATGTGAGTTGTAAGCGGTCCAAGTTAGTATCAAGATGTATGAGTGTAAACACACGACACACCACACTGTAAATGTTACATTACAGTCTTACATCTCGCTAACTGGTAGTTTAATAAAAATCCACGAGGACTGATGTACAGAGTGTGAGAAATAACGCGACTTGAAACGTATAGAGCTTGCGAACATGATAATGCGGTGGTGTTGATATTCAGGTATGTAACGCTGGAAGCCAGAAGTTATTGAAATTGCGATTAGATGATATGTTCTATAAGTCTCCCCGGCACCATTGGCATCGCCATCAACATCAACAGCCACTGGTACACGGCGGAAGGATAAAACACCGTTATAAATCGTGAAAATCGTTAATTAACAACGTAGGCGAGGTCGTATAACGAGCACTAGGATAATGCGCAACATATTTAATATCTGAGAGATGGAGAACTGAATGGCCTTCATTTGTATAACACTGACGGGCGCATGCACGCTGCTAAAGAGTTGTGATAACAGCGGAAAGTATATATTAAATATTAACTATAAAAGGTTCAGGTTATGCTCTCATGGATTTTATATTTCTTCACGGCTATTCGGGAATTAAGTCGCGGTTTATTATTCTTAAATTGGCCTTAAGTAATGAAAATTAACCGGGATGAAGGATCAAGCCGAGCCGATTCTCGGTACACGCTCGAGCCGATCTTTTTTTACAGCAAACAATAATCATTTAATAACACCCATTATTATTTTTTATTTAAACTTCTTGAGTTTATGTGCAGATTATTTTTCTAGATGCTTCGGGAAGACTATTTCCGATTTTACTGCTTCTGAGATATGTAAAGCAAAAAATCGGGAACGAATAAATAAAACATCGAAACACTTGTCTTCATTGTTTTGTATTATACTCTAAGCTGGATATTTTTTATATACAATAGTGTCCTGAGTTACTCAATTCCTCTGACGTCTAATTAATTCTGTGTTACTCTACTCTCAGTGCCATTGTATTCCCATGTGTTACACTCTGGCCTACCATTTATATCCTGTCCTACTCAATTTTTTATTCTATTTTATTTTATTCAATTATTGAGTCTCAATACTGTGGGTACCCTTATAAATATTTTAAGCGCATCTGAATTTTACGATAATTTAGCTTCTTTAAATTTTTTGTAAAAAAAAATTTCTCAAAAACAAATTATTATTTTTTTCTGATTTCTAAAATTTTCTAAAAAATAGAAACTATTTTTGGTAAATATTTACAAGTAGGGTCACCATTTCAATTTTCATTTTTTTAAACAAAACTTTTTTTTTTAAAATTTTGACATTTTTTTTTGAAAAATATAAAAAAATGAACAATTAAAAAAAAAAAATTTACTATCAAAATTTTAACAAATTTTCAAAAAAATTTATAAATTTTTTTTTTATAAATTGTTCGTTTTTTTATGTACTTAAAAAATATATCAAAAAAAGATAAAATAGAAATTTTATCCAAAAATATGAGCCAAAATTTTTTCCAACTTTTGAAAAGCAAAAAATCTATTGAAATTTTTATTTTTTTCTTTCACGATATTTTTTATCATAAATGCGCCATAAAAACAAGCAGAAGCAGAATAAAAAAAAATATTAATTTTTTACCTAGATATGGCCAAAAATAGAATAGACCCCACTTATAAATAATTACCCTATTTTTTATCTAAATAATAATTTTTTTATCAAATTATTAATTAAAAAAAAAAAAAAATAAATATTCCTCAATTATAATTTTTCAAAAAATCTTTTTATTAAAAAAAAAAAAATAGAAAAATTTTTTACTCAAATGCTTCTTAGCTTAAAATTATATACTTCCTTGAAAAAGATTAGCTAGGCTCTAAAATCCCCAATTATTAAAAAAGAATACCTCAAAATACCAAAGCAACTCGAATGACTTAATCATGCTGGGCTGTCGGTGTAAATAAAAGAATAAGTACAAACCTATAGGCGTGAACGTGAACAGGATTGTTAGTAGCTGGATTGGGAAGAAGAAGAGTAGCAGCAACAACGTCCTCCCGTTGTACAGCTGCAAGAACAGCGTGACCTGGCACAAGATGTTTCACAGCAGACCTCGACGACATACCTGGATGTACTGTCTGAATGATTTTGAGGCCTTTGCTGCTGACCTGTTGGCACAACAATTGTCCATAAGTTAGCGATTAATAAATCCTAATTCATTTATATTAAATTATCATCATCACAACATTATTATATTATAACTTACAACCCATGCATTCTTACCAAGTCATGGTACGTATTAATTTTATCTATTCATCGTGATTTAAGTGTGTAAGTATCACACGGCACATAATAGAGCTCGGATACAAACGATTATTTTCTCATTCATTGCACACTTCGGTTTAACGCCGGCCTGTAAGTATGTACAGAGGTATATAATAAATATTATGTATGTAAGCAAGCAGAAGTATAGGATTGGATCTTGGATCTATAAGTAATATTAGTAAAGATCGAACTCCTGCTATCATCCAATAATAATCAATCGGTAGGCGGTTTATAACGTAGGCACGAACAGAAACGCTCATCCGATCTTTAATTCGCATATTTCTCAATAATAATTTTTCTTCTTCTTAATCTTAAATATATTTTATTTTAAAATAAAACTAACTGTGTCGTAATTCACCGATACAAAGACGGTGTGCTATATATATATATAAAAGCAACTCGTGACCGATGATGGGCTCAGTACACCTAACCGACTTGCTATACAGATAGACCAGCGACTCATTGTGCGCGCAAGCGTCATCGGCATCACCGTTATCTCCAACCAATGACTTATATCCCGGAAGCTACGAGTTTTCACAGCGGTGATCGAGGTTATTGGCATTAGAATACTTTGGAGAAAGGAAAAATCAAATAAAACTCTTGAATCTTTTAAATAATCTAATAACCAGCTATTTTTAATTCTAAAGATCACACCGGGAAGAAAACAAAGCCTCTACTCGGGAAGAAAGAGATTGATTATTAACTTGATCCACCAACCATCTACAATAGAAACGTGGTTCTCATCATCATCATCATTTAGCTAGATCTTTCATCGAATAAATATAGATGCGACGTGTCCATAGACTTTGTCTATAAAGACAAAGATCTCGTCACCTCTCTCTTCCTTGTATGTAGTTGGAAAATATAACAAACAGCAGCCACTACTCCAGCAATAGATGATTATCCACCTAAACTTTCTCAAATAACGACGTTCCTCACTCCAGCATTGTCGTTCTATTCCTTTTTTTCTCGGTCTTACTGCTGGATAATATGCAATTACAATTACGCAATTACGTAGACCATTATAAACATTTACATTTACATCCAGCTCCAAGGATTCGAGTTGGCATATAATGATAATAACAATAATCTGTACCGGAGAGCCGAGACGATTTTGCCATCAGATTGCGGAAAGCTATTCTCAGGATTCTAAACCGTAGACAAGTCTGATCTATTACTCTATAGTTTCCTTTTTTAGATTATATGCGTGTACCTCGATACCTTGATACCATCCTGTATACTTTCTAGGTGTGCTTTGCTCGTTGGATTGTTAAATATATTTCATTGATAATTGTTTCATTTTTAGTAGATTTTATAGAAATCTAACTATTGGTCCTCAGGACGGAAATTTGAAAAAATTTTGCTGTATTTTGATTTAACTCGACGAGCTGAATTAGAAAATACATATCGACGTTCTAATTAGCAAATTGTCTCACTCAATTTTAGAGGATCTTCTATTTGTACGAAATAAACAATTAGTTCAAAATTTATTATCACTTTAAAAAATCATTTAATATCATTAATATCTAGATAGAGAATATAATATTAAGGTTTAAATCATTAAAATAATTTATAATTGGATTATTGCTTCATCAAAATGTTAAAAAATCACCATCTAAAAAATAAGGAGTTAGATTGCTAATTAGGTCGTCGATATGGTTCAAAAGGCGACTACCCCCTTTTTCTCAAGCAATAATTTCTCATGACATAATTTATCTAGTAAAATTTCTCAAGGATACAATTTATTATGTTGTAATTTATCTTATATTTAATTTCCTTATAGGCTTTGTATTGTCAATTTTTGACGATCATAAATGTTGATAAACACACACAAAAACCATGTTAAAAGGGCGCAACACGATTACCCGCATTTGTGTTGGTCTAATGTCGAATAAACATACACAAAAACCATGTTTAATTTATAGTGTTTGAGAAAATATTGATATGAGAAATTTTAGGGATGCAAAAATTTCTCCTAACAAAAATTTCTCATCGCTAAAATTTCTCATATCAATAATTTTTCTATTGTAGAATAAGTATGTTGAGTTTGGTAAAGATCCGTTGTAAATTGGCGACAAATATAAACTTTTGAACCGAAACTTTAATTGTAATGATTACAATAAAAATCATACGTTAAAATCTAATTGTAATTTTGATTAATAAGTAATAAAATGAAATCTACTTCCATTTCGGCTGCCAAATGACCTTTTTAGTTTTTTTTTTTACTTTTGCATTCGTTTTGATGTCATTGTTTTATTGTAACACAAGTTGTATATTATTATCAATGTTATTTTATAAAAAATACAGTTTTTTTATTCGAGAAATCCATTTCCATTTTGGCTGCCGAATGGTCTTTTTTTTTAGATCTGAAAATAAAAATTAACATCAATTTATTGATAATTTTATTTTAAATTATTTAAAGTCCCAATAACTGAACTTGAGAGTGATCTAAAGACGATCTGGAGTGTAAATCCTCAAAGTTTATGGATACTTAAGCATGCGTGCAGTTTACCTTGGCGATTACGTTGATCGACGACTCGAGGAGAAATTATAATGTAATTCAATCAAGCTATTGCTTTCTTGCAATCTTCTTGTCAACTTAAACTTAGCCACGCATTTCTCTTTTCTTTTTAGTCCAGGTCTATATTTGTCCTGAACTTTTCGCAAGTCTCTATTCTATCATTCATATAATAATACTATTGCTACTATTATTGTGTGTGATTGTTTTGGTATTTCGTTGGGGATTCCCACGAACGTAATCAACCCTTATCTGATGTGAGAGTGTAAATAAATGGATGAATTAGCAAATAATCAGGTGACACAATCGGTTGGCGAAAGTTCTGTCATTCCGACTTCCTTCACCTGTCCGTTAACTTTGACGGCGTCTATCTAGTTGATAGCCAATAGTTGATAGTAACTATTAGCAATAACAACAATAATACTAATGATAATGATAATAATATTGTTTGAAGTAATGAGTAAGGAGTTTATTATGCCTTGTCAGTCACATTGTGCTTTCGAATTACACTTGGCATGCACATGTGCTCATAAATGCTTGCTTTTACACATTGACACTCAGAAATGTACTTGCTCCTACACGATATTGCTCTAAAGAGGTTTACTGCAGTGTAAACGCGGTCGTAGCTGAAGCAATTCGCTTAAATCGGGCCACTATCTCCTTTTCCAGATTCCAATGCTCGCTCGTTCTCCACCAAGCTATTTTATTGCACGTGCATAACTTTATTTTATAACTCATACAATACTTATTAATGGACACTGCTTGTGTGTATTAAGACAGAGCCAGCAATAAAGTTGTTGATAAATTTTTATTTTCAGCCAGTTTATAAATTACGCTAACAATTTCTCCTTTCACCGCTGATGAATCCTATGACTAATGAAAATACATTTTAATCCTTTATTTTATTTTATTTATTGTTCAATTCTCGTCACACTAGACAACCTAATTTTTATAAATATTATTTACTGCCATTACCTACATTTTATACTTTCCGATTAAAGTATTATTTTCTGAGAATGAGAGTGAGACAAATATATTTTTTCACGATTTGTTAAGTCGAGAAAGGACGAGCGACCACGATGATGCTGACGCTGATGGAATTCATGGGTAATTATGACAGACTAAGAATAACTATTTTTTTTTTTTAAGAGTTGTAATTCAGTAGCAATTTTATTCCTCATTTTTATTGCGCCCTCTTTTCTTAAGAAGATTAAATAAATATTGCAGATATTTTTTTTTTTTTAAATAAAATTTAGTAGTAATAAAAAAATAATAAATTATTATCATTAATTTTGTTTTTAACAAATAAATTATTTTTAAATTGCTTTTTATTTCTTCACGCGGAAATTTTTTTTATCATTTGTTAAAAAACTCTTAAAAATTATCAGATTTTTTTCAATTTCAGTATAATAATTAGAATTTATGATTTTAAAATTGAGAGACATTTAATAATTTTTTAGAATTTCATAAAAAAATAAATTATGACAATAAAACAACTCAAAAAAAAAAAAAATCCACGTATTAAAATTGTCAAAAATGATAAGTGCAATTTTTTTTAAATAATCTTTTTATTGCAACAATTTATTTATGAAATTTTTAAAAAAGTTTGTCAAAAAAAAAATTTCACGTGAAGAAATAAAAAAAATAAAAAAGTGCAATTTAAAAAAATTTTTTTAAAACAAATTTATTTATAAAATAAAATCCAAACATGGTGAAATGTTTGCCAATTTTAGTGTAATTTAAAACTTTAGTTAAAAAAATTTAGTGTCACTAATTTTAGCCCGAAGATAAGAAGAAACATTAATACGCTCGTATAATGCGTATTTTACTGTCAATATACCAATTTAAAATTATCCTGTTTGGGATAAAAAGGCATAACAATAAAAAAACAGGTTCCTCGGCAGTACCAGCACCAGCAGCATCACCACTGACGCAAAAATAGTAGTACCCCAGTAGAGTCTTTCTCTTAGGATCTCTTACCTGCAGTGTGACCTTGAAAGGTTCTTGGAGTCTTTCACGCTCGAGAAGATATGCTATGGCACCTGGCATAGCATCCACGCCTTTGGCCTCCCTCGCTCCCAAATACCATACGTAGTATGAGCTTTTCTTGACATCTTTGCTACTGCGAAGCCGCAAGGCCATCGCTCAGCTGTAACAAACTAAATTCAGATATCATTGTACCATCAGTAATCTTCAATACCGAGCAGAGTTATCCAAGTTGAAACCCCCTCATGCTACCGTGCAATTTGCTAATTCAGTACAAGGTCAATCAACCTCACTAACTATCATTTATATTTATTTTTATTCATTAATTATAATTTATTCTACAAAAAAATTAAATAATATATTGACAGATTGCTGAGGAATATTAATAAAATAAAATAACGCGGCTGAATTTCAACCGTAACCGGCTCCAAGTTCGTTGTTACGTAAAAGAGTTCATCAACACAGTGCACTTTGAAAGAAGAAAAAACTAATTTACAGTTTTAATATTTAATTACATTTTTTTTGATTATTTAAATATACATAACAATAGCATAATTTTAATTCAATTTAGATTTTTAAATTATGTAATAAATGCATTGAGAAGATATCACGTTCAATTGATCATTATTTAGCAGTGAGATGGATTGAATCTGACACCTTGATCCTGTATCTTCTCAAGACATTAATCAAGTAATATCACCACTTATTTTTAATATTTTAAAAGAAGATTATAAAATTAAAAGTTATTCATTGGTAATAAATTAATTATGCAGAATTTAATTTTTTTTTTTTTTTAATAAATAATAACCAGTATTGGATTATGAAACTACTAAAATAGATTAAATAATTACTAAATATTTTTAATTTTTTAAAATATAAATTTCACAGAATAAAAATTTATAAATAAGTAACTTTAATATTAATTTTTTAAATTTTTATAACAATTAAATTATTATAAAATAAATCAAGTAAAAAAATTTCAAATTAAAAAAAATTATGTGTTAATTAAAAATATTTTTTTTTTTTATCACAATTTTTTCTTTTCTTCAATTAAATTCAATTTATTTTTTTAAATTAATGTTATTTAATTTGAAATCATTTCTATTGATATATGACATTAAAGTTAGCTGTCACTTAAATGTTTTTTAATTTTTTTTAAACAAACAAATTTGTTCTAAAAAATTGCATTTTTTAATTTTCAAAGTTTCTACTTGTAAATGTTTTTTTGCTATAATTTATTTGTTACAAAAATTTTTCAAATTATTGAGTACCTGCTAATGACACTAAAGTTAGCAGACACCTGAAAATTTTTTATTTTTTTTTATTAATTAAATTACAACTAAAAAGATATTTGTAAAAAATTGCACTTATAGTTTTTCAAGTTTTTTACATGTGAAAATTTTTTTTTGAATTATTTAATTGAAATTTTTTCAATAAAAAATTTCTAAAAATTTTAAAATGTCGGCTAACTTTATTTTCATATAAAATTAATAAAAAACTGATGAATATTAAGTTAGCCAACATTTAAAAATTTTTAGAATTTTTTTTTATTGAAAAAATGATTACAAAAAAATAAAAGAAAAAAAATTTCACTTGTTAAAAACTTCAAAAGCTATAAGTGCAATTTTTTAAAAATATTTTTTAGTTATAATTTAATAAATTAAGCAAAATAAAAAAATCAAAAGTGTCGGCTAACTTTATAATTATAAAAAACTGTCAGATTTCAGTTGATTTAAGTATCAAAACTTTAGCAGACTATAAAATAATATTTTTTCTTCTTTTGAGTGCTCAAGTCCAAGATACCACTATAGGTACGGTCGTACATGGTAAAGTAAGATAGTTTAGCTGTCAAAGTCCTAATCCGAGTGGATTGGAGTATGTCGAGTCTTTAGCCGCTGTCAGTAAAATAAAAGGTTGTTGTTGTATTTGTTGGAAGTAATGCACTTGACTACACATAGTACCAGGGGTTTTATTTCCTCTTGAGGAGTATGTAGTGCAGGTAAAGCAAAGCGGTTGATTCTTAAAGCAAAAGCTGATCGTCCTGTGTAGCTTGGGGTACTTCGTGCATCACTCGACTTCCTCAATTACTTAGATACTTAAACCCGTTTCCACGTAATCCATCTCCTGCGAATCACCGGGTTCCCACCGATCAGCCTTCAGTCGAGAGCAATTGGCTCTGTGTGATGCTTCTTTTGTGAGGAGCAACACACCACTGAGTGAAACCGAGCAGCTTGTTGTTCTTGTTGTTGTTGTTACTTTCAACTAATTTACCTCAAAAATTACATCCCGGTTCTATTGGAGGCTCACAAAATACCAGTTAGTTGGGAAATTTCTCTGCTCAGATAAATTTCATCAAGACAACCCGGTAGATTGCTTTTCTCTGCTCGGGAGAATAAAAGTTTAAGTATAAGGAAGAAGAGTATTATACTGAGAAGAAGATGAATAAAATAAAAGCAAGTTAAGATTTAAGAAGAAAAATAACCAAAAGAAGAAGAAGAAGAAGAAGAAGAAGAAGAAGAAGTAGAAGTAAGCACGCAAGACGCAACTCACCTTAATGCCCAGAGAATGCGCGTCTCTACTATACTCTCGTTCGTCTCTCTGGTAAATAATAATACGGTTTATGGTTCGCTCTAAACTTTAACTACGCAGTGAAAGAGTAACAGAGAGAGAGAGACAGTGAAGGATCCTGAAGAAAGCAACTAAACCATCACCCGATTGTGAATACTGCTACTACACTCAACTGCTACTATACGATACGACGTAGACGGGTGTATAACAAAACGCTCAGGAAGAATATATAACTCGGATGACTCAGGAAAAGAAGAAGAAGAAGAAGAAGAACAGGTAGGAGTTATAAAAATAAAAGTAAGGAGATGAAGTAGTTGTATTGTATAAATTTTTAAAAAATCCACCTTTTTTAATATAACACACTTGGATTCACTGACACGAATCTCTACTGGTAATTATTTTAAATATCACCGGTTCATTGCACTTTATAGGTTAGCATTGTTCTTTTAAAATAATCCAAAACATTTTTAACTTACTATTGTCGGAACTATTTATAAAATTTATAAAATAATAACAATATTATCATCACACAGAACTGGTAAAAGGTATTGAACACACGGCGTGTCAACTGCGCGGCGCGAAACACCGCAATGGACCAACCGACCGACGAACTTACGGCTGGATTGCTAGTTGCTTGTTGCTTGTTGCTTGTTGCCTGTCGTCCAGGAGAAGGGGCAGCTGGTTGTGCAGACGAGCTGGAGAGGGACTTGGTTGTATGGTGAGGAAAGGGAACCGAGAAGGACAGTTCGAGCTCGTCGAGTTATATACACGAGTGGGGCGAGGGGAACTGAGAAACGTGAAACGAAGAGGAGAGTAAGCTCTCGCCACACCTTGCCATCAGCGCTGATGCTCTTTACTTATATTAGAGAGTTTCTGATCATTCAGGATGTTTTGTCAATTAATTGAATTTGTAATTAAGTTATTTTGAGATTGTAACGGGAGGGTGTAGGAGTTTTTAATTGCAGCGTAAGTTAAAAGGGATTCTGCAAATTATTGGGATGAACAGAGGTCCTGTCTCTGGTGAACTGGTTCCTGGTCTCCCTCGACTAGGATTACTTACTTTTTGTTGCTTTTTTTAATGTATTTGGTGATATTAAAATTGTCAATTTATCTGATTGATGAATTTTGACTGATAGTTGAGCAAAATATTTACTTGTTGAACTTTGATTTGCAATTAGGTAAAACGACTTACTTTGTAAGCTGATTTATATGTATTTAAGATTGATGATAAAGTTATCGAATATTTACTGTGTGATTCATAGTGTAATAAAATTATGAAAATTAATTCAGCAGATATTTGATAATTTTAGGATTTTTTTTTAACAAATAAATTATGGCAAAAAAAAAGTAGAAAAAAAATTGACATGTAGAAATTTAAATAAATAAAAAATGCAATTTTTTTTTGAATAATTTTTTGGAAAAAATCTATTTGTTAAAAAAAAAATTAAAAAATGGTTAAGTGACTGCTAACTTTAATGTCATAAAATTACAAATCAATTAAAAAAAAATTTTTTTTTTATTTACACTTGTAATTTTTTTTATTTTTATATCTGGAATTTTTGGTTATCGAAAAAAATTTTTAAATTATGAAAAATTCATATTATTTCACTAAAATTATTATAAATTTATTAAATTATTATTATTATTTTTATTTTATAATAATTTTAGTAAAATAATATGAATTTTTCCTAACTTTAAAATTTTTTCCAGGATTCAAAAATTCCTTTTATTTTTATTTTTTTTATTAAATTTTTTCATAAAAATTTAGCTGCAATAATCGAAAAAATTTACAAATGTCTGTTAAATTAATTTCAGTATAATTTATTTTAAATATTTACGTAATAAAATTGCATATTTTTAATATTACATTATAAAAATATACAGAAGAATTTTAACCACTAAATTTTCATACTCATGAACATTTATGGTAAATTCTTTTCTTATTATTATTATTATAATAATTTGACACACTTTGGTAAACTCACAATAATTTTATAAACATATTTGTTAAAATACTTGTAAATTCAATCTAATATAAATGTAAGTTAATTATTTTAGCCTGGTAATTTTTTTTTTTATACTTAATGTAATCCCATAAAAGTGGGATTAGAAAATGTAAATGTCATTGCCATTATTATAAATGATAGTGAGTTGAAATTGACATGTTATGACAGTAAAAGTAATTTCATTGAAAAAAAAAAAAAAAAAAAAAAAAAATATGAAAGAACTTTAGTTGTAATTATTTTTATATAAGAAGCGCAAAACTACAAAAACACACTTGTATCTCAAAGTGGTCAGCTTAACAAGTCGAGCTGGTACACATGTCGATGATCAGAAAATAATTTACAGCGGATGGACCACCTGTAAAGAGGTGAGTTGCGCAAATTCCAATTGGAGTTTGTGAAAGTACTGGTTCATCGTCTTTTATAATATTATAAATACAAATAATACATACAGTCTTTCTCTTTCTTAGGCATAATTCACAGCACGCAATCGACTTAAATAGAGCGACATTAATCTTGTCACTATTGACCTGTAACGCCTCTTAGCCGATGATTTATATTATGACGGCTGACTATTTTAGAACA